GTATGCGAACAGGAAGTTTTGCCACTTAATTTTATATATATAGATAGTTCATTCAATAGCAAAGAACACAGTAATCATTTTTTTTAATTACATACAGTACTGGCGAAAAATTCAATTCGATTTCTTAAACAAATTTTTTTTGTGCCCATTAATGTATCTATCTATCTACATACTTATTTCTAAAAGGTATTTTTCTGTTACCAAACGATATCTCATTTAATATTTTATCAAATTTTAAATATATACAAATTTCATATTTCTTTTCACACTTATTTTAGATATCTTTTTTGCCCCGCTTACTTCCAGAAACAAAGCTCTCCCAATAAAAATACCACAATATCGCTTTAAAAAAATTTGTTCTCCCAACCGCATAAAGAGTTATACACCCCTATGCTGTAATCCGTCGTAGATTCGATTTTGCTACGAATCTTAAAATTGGTATGCTGTAATCCGCGTTGCCGTATCGTAATTTCGAAATTCGGAGACCATCTTCGAAATTCGTAATGTTGGTATGCCTGAATCCGACGTAGCTGTAATTTGTATGTATTTGTCGGAAATTTTCTACGAAGAGTAACTGGTGTCGGAGCGAAGCGAATTCTTTTAAAATATCAATCAAATAAAGTGTGGAAACGCAAAAATATGTATGTAAGTTGAAGTGTGAATAAAAAACAATGTATTATTAAATGTTTACAAAATTATCAAGTCGACAATCAGAACAAATCGCTCGCAATACGAAAAACTGGTGGAATGCATGAGCGAAAGACCGGACATTGCCCGAGGCTTTGTAATAGTTAAAGAGGATGTGGTGGAATTTTGGGAAAGCGTTGCAAGATTTAAAGCAACACAATATTTAGTTGAATGGACGCCCTTAAAAAGAGGGAGCATATATTTATCATTTAAGGTAAATGGATCAGAACTGTCTCGTAGCAATCTCCTTTGTATATTAATGCAACAGTTGACTGCAGCATGTTCTTCCTCCTGAGACAAAAGTGCACCGGCCACTGAATCCATTCTATTTTACTTAATTAAGGAAAAGCTTTTTCGAATACGATTAAACATTTTTTTTCATTTCACTGTTCACCTGCGATTATATTTATTTTGATTTGTTTCTGTCAAAGCAGCTGATTAAGAACTTCGAGTTTCACTATTTTAGTTGGCAACGCCGTTGATAGTTAAGATCGGATTACAGCATACCAATTTTCGAATTTTCGGAACGGAGCTACGAATTCGTAACTACGAACTTTCGGATTACAGCATAGGGGTGATAGCTCAGTTATGCATACTTTGCACTGCTATGCCATTTATACGTAAAAATGAAAACCCAACAGACTTTTACATCTGAAGTGCTGTGCGTTGGGTAAGCGCTTACACGCATTTCACAGATTCCTTATGTGACAACTGTCATGTAATGCCAAATATGACTGAGCTATAACGTCCGCAACGAGCATATACATATGTATAATTATTTTATAGTTAATCCAATACTTAATTTGCTTTTGTAATATACTTTCCTTCATAATTTTTTCTTCAAATTTTTCTTTTTTATCGACTTCACACCTGCACTTTATTATACTAATTTTTTTTTTAACTATTGATTAGAAAGTTTGAAATTCTGATGAAACCTTGTTGAAGTTTCCTAATTTTTGTATAAAGTTTGGAATTTGGACTTACATGGTTTTTGTTAGATCTTTAGCGGAATGTACTTTTATAAAGAAAAAATAATAATAAACATTAAATACTGAAAAGAAAAATAGCAAAAACTTGTTCAAATTTTGCGTCCCTGTTTATTTTACCGCCACTGTAAATAAATGCATATACATACATACATGCATATGTATGTATGTAACTCATAATAGACGGCGGCTACTGCATACAAATTCGCCAAATTAAGTATGAAATGGAAAGCAAGCGTATAAATAATGCAAACAATAAATAATTCATCATATATTCATGAAAATAACTGCTTTAACTATGTATTTACATATACACATACACACATATACACATGTGCATACCTATGTAAATGTACATAACAGTTGTGTAAATCGATGCTCTTGGGAAAGTAAATATGAACTTATGTGTGGGTTCTTCAAATACTACAAACCAATTAAATAGGATGAGAAATTGAATGTAGATGCAAAAAATATGAAATTAATTTAATTTCAACCTATTTAAAAGAGAGTGAAAACTGTGCAAATATTAGATGCCCGACTACCACAGTCATATCCCAAGAAATTTTATTCCACCTCTTAAATTTTTTTTACAGCCGATTAAGCCTTTCTTAGTTTTATGTATAAATTGGCTTGAAACGTGATTCTCCTCCTCAGTCACCTTTGGTAAAATTTGGAGAGCAATATTTTTGTAGAACACTTTAACACCTGAAACTTATTTATGTATTTCTTTATGTTAGTTTATTTAAAAGGTTGTTAGAGGACGAAGAGTGTCTACAAAATGTTTAGAAAAGCATACAATTTTACTAGGTGTCGCTGATCGTCGCCGATGATGAAACTATTCGGAAGTCAATTCATATCAAAATCGCATAGAAGATGATTAATTTGAGACAAAAAGAGGTGGAGCAAAATCCTTTAGCGACTCGAACTACTACGCATGGGCATTGTGATTCGTTGAGGCGGCCCTAATATGGGCTGTTCCACAGTGTTATCTAAACAAATTCGTGCATGCAAAGTTTAATGCATCCACACATAAAAACTTGTGTCAAATGTCATGAATAATGCATCCGATAAATGTATTTATAAAAAATTAGTAATGCTCAAGGCCAATGATTGATGTTTGCCATCGATTTAATGCGCGATGTACAAGATAAGATAGATACTTGTACAAAAGTTTAAACGCTTAACTCAGTCGATGATAAAAACAAAAAAAATAAAAAAATAAAAATAAAGATGAACAAACTAGCTGGCTGACAAACAAACTCTTACGCCAACCCTACAGCCACCAGCCAAGCCAACGGTGAGCTCTAACGCGCGCTCGCCCGCTCGCTGGCTTAGCGGCACAACGAAGATGATGAAAGAAGAGTTCAAAAGGTTTAAAGAAGCAAGAAGCACGAGAAAATAATGAACGTCTATTAGCTACAAAAACATAATAATAGGTACTTAATAACAATGTCTTGCGTGTTCTGTGGCACTCCATAATTTAATGCTAATTATTGATTTAGACACAAATAATACAAAAGCAAAGCAAAAACAAAAATACGAGTAGAAACAGCGACAGAAAGCAGACGTCAACGAATCACTCAAGTGGCATAAATTATTATTTTTTTTTTGTTGTATATTTTATCTTTGAACCGCGCTCCCCACGGCGCTCCAGCCAATGATATGTATGTACATAGATACATATGTATGTATGTACTCTAGGCGACAAATGAAAGTGTACACCTTATTCTAATGTTAAATTCACGATTATTTTCATGAAAAATTTGTTGCATTATTTTGTTATGAAAATATAGTTCATTCTATAATACAAACCATATAAATCAAAGTTACACACTTCATATAAAGTTTACAAAAATTAAAAAAAAAAACATTTTCTCCAAAGTTTCAACTTTTTATTCAGAATTTCTTGAAAATTTTCGATTATGCGGTTTGGTAGCCCATTCAATTTTAGTCTAATGAAGTGCAAGTTTCAACCGGATACACAATAGCGGTGATATTTGTGATATTTTTTTTGTTTTCTTTTTTTTTTAGATGGACTTTTTCATATAAGCATGAATTTCTTATGAAATAAAATGCGGGAGACCGTTAGCAATAAACTTTAAATTTTCCTCAAAAATTTTCTGGAAATTCTGATTAAAAAGTTGAAAATTTTGATGAATTTTTTTTTTTTT